AAATAAGCCAAAACTACCACAGCTCACATATACAATGGTCAGTAATGCTACTACAATTAATATTACACTTATTGTTATATTTGATCACATACCTCCACCACTTCCAACACCAAGAACGCCCAGGCTGCTTTTACCCTCTCCAATCCTGCATCAAAAATAAGAACGTTAATAAACCGTTAAAGAAAGTGTACAGTATGTGTATGTATGTCACAAGATGTATGCTGGAAAATTACGATCTTACAAAATTGCACTATGGAGCCTCTGTGTTATAGCTGTCTAATTTATTATGGCTGGTGCTAGACTGGATCATTGAATAGATGGGTTGGCAGCTCAGTGGGTCGTACACGGCTCAGCTGCTTGCTTAATTTTTAAAACAGCTTCACTCCTGAATGGTGGTCTAAAAAGAGCATCTAAGAAGTGACTGTTTGAAAGCATGGATGTTTTCTTTTGTGAAAAAAACTAATTACAGAGCTCAAAGCACGAGCATCATGACAGCTGCTTTTCAAAACGATCAGGCCAAACCTCTAAATGATCACAAAATCTAAATAGAAAAAAGAAAAATATGAAAATGTAAAAGCTGAAAGCCATACATTTTTTGTTATTAAGCATTTCACCTCTACTTACAATATGGAATTTAATCTATTGCAAACTAGCAGACTACAGAATATCTCAAAGCATTTTTCATTTAATAAGTAAGTTGGTGAGGTACATTTAGTTAAGTAAACATCTACTGTTTACTTATCAAGTGAATAAAGACAAGTGTAAAGGATAAACTGCAAGTGTACTGTTGGTCATTGAATTCTTTCAGGGGGTTTATTAAAAAATGACCAGTCTTGCTGAGCACAAGTTAACATTATTTCAACAGACAAATTGTGGATATTCAGGAGATCATGGTGAAAAGAAACTTTTTATAAGAGGGCTGTGCAGCAGTGAAAGAGACAAGAAACCCTTCTTCTAGTCTTCCCGTCTGTTTTAAATAGCTGTGTGACAAATACGGATAAAAATGTAATAACCAATCACAGCATAGCATCATCCATCAGGCTGATCCAATTTAGCACCAAATGGGTTGTTTTGACATAGTAGGGACAATCTGAAAGAAATTGAGTTTTTGAATGAAAATTCAGATTGTGTGCGTGCACTGCAGCTTGCATGAAATTGTAGGCAATTTCTTCTGCCTTTAAAAAGACATTTTGAAGTTATCTGCACAGACCCTGGTGGGCTAAATTACCCTATTCCCTAAAACAGCACGTAACATAAAGAATGCAACAATTTAAGCCTGGCTAACTAAATGGATAAATGCTCAAACGACTTTCCATAAACTAGCAGAGACCATACTGTGGGGGGACTTCAGATGGTATAAAGCATCTGCTGTTGACAAGTGGAGGACACAGATGCAACTTATGTCAAAGTTTTCACATTCCAACCCTTGAGTACAGTCATTACTGTAGTGCAGTCTGTCCCCTACTCTTAGCTTGGACTATGGGTTATTACTTCAAGCATTTCATTTCCTGCTGTACCTTTTAAATTCTCTTGCTAGGAGATTGTTAACACACTGCATGATGGCCTTGTGATCTCCTGAGTGTTCCAGATAGAACTGGAAAATGTGGACAGTGTCACCCTCATAACAAGTGTTCTGTGCTTCTGCAGCCATGGCTGATTCCTGCAATACACAGAAATCAAAAACAACAACATAATCAAGTTGCTCACCACACTTTAATTATATAGTTACATCATAAGAATAAAAAAATACCTTAAATAGCTGTAGCCTCTGTGGAAATCCAGTTCTTCACCTTCTTTTGAGTTGCACACTTTATATTCCCTCCCACAAAGTGGGCTGGCTTCAAAGTAGTCTCGCTAAAGCACAAATAGTGGGCGTCCTGAACTGTTGGACCGGTTGTGGCGAATGAGAGCAGAGACCCAACTGCTCTCCCCCTTCTTTTAAGTTGTGGTGTTTATCTTCTCTCCCATAAATGGGCTGGGCTTCAACATTTTCTCTGTAGAACAGGAATAGCAGACTTGCCTCAACCTGTTCAATTGGCCTCACCTGCCCTTAACACTAACCAAACATATGCAAAGTATGCACCGCTTTAGATGGTCTAAGATTCTGGTCTTAGATTTAGAACTGAAGAAGCTTCTTGAATGAGGGTTGAAACATCTTGAAGCAACTTAAAGAAGTCCAGATGCTTTTCTTTCTAAGCTCTTTAGACTACGATGACCTGGATGACTGAGAACCTTCACAGACACTGCTTTAGATGATTTCATACATTACATGTCATGGTTACATGGTTGTGTTTGCAGATCAGTAAGTAAAGTTGTCCTCAAGATGGTGCCAAAAGTTCAGCTATATCGTAGTGTCTGAAGAACATCTGC